TTAACCGCAGCTTCTGGGAGGTAAATTGCCTGCACACTTCCACTTCTGGGTGGTCTGCCTGTGTGGTACTTGGTTCAGCAAGCCCCATTTGTGGGAAATAGCCAGGCACAAAGGGTTTTAAGCAGGTCTGGGGACACAGGGGACATCGTCTTAAAGGGGCAGTGTCCCATTCTTCCTGATGTCCCAAAAAGGTGTTTAAAGGGCCAGCACCAGTCCCATAAAGAGTCCATAAGCCACAATATGCCCACTGGCTGTCTTAAAGGGCCATACACACCCAATAAAAGTTTTCACCATCTCCCAGGGGCCATAGTCATGTGGAAGGAGGCTGACAAATAGGCTCCTCCAATGCAATGTGGCGAGATTGGTCTCGTCACATCTCTCCCCTTTTCCAAACAGACTAACAGGGTATCTGACCTCCTGCCGGTCAGTGCCCTTGTTAGTCCAGCAGCCCACCCACAAAACACAATCAACAGCACAGCCCACCCACAATAAATGGTTACTACACCTGGGTAGAGGAGAAGCATGTCCAGGTGCCTCACCATGGCTGTGCTGGGTACGGGTATGCTGACTTGGTGGGTTGCTGCGTGGGCAGAGACCAGCGGTACGCTGCCCTGTTGCTAGCGCTACTGGGAGGGTAGCCTGGTTGAAGCCTGGTTGTTCGAGGGGGAGACCGACTGTCTCTCCTTTAGATACACAGCTCTGCTGCTGGAGACCGACTGTCTCCCTTTTGGACACACAGCTCTGCTGCTGGGGGGCAGAACCGACCGTCCCAACCCCCTGTGCTGGACGTGCAGAGACCACGGTCCCATTTGCACAGTAGTGGGGCTTACTGTCTCCCCCTGGTACATTAAGCTGCCGCTGGGGAGAGGGGGTAACAAGCTCCTCTCCCATACATACTTCCAGCCGCGGGGGAGGGAGACCGACTGTCTCTGCTCCCAATACAGAGTCCTGCTGCTGGGGAAAGGAGAATGGGCTCTCTATTCCCGGTAGGACACTCTGCCGCTGGGGAATGGAGACTGGGCTCCCAATTCCCTGCAATTCATTCTGCTGCTGGGGGACAGGAGCAACTATCTCTGTCCCCTGTAACTCAGCCTGCCAATGGGGAGGGAGGACGCTGCTCTCCTCTCCCTGCAAGGAACACCGCCGCTGGGGGACCTGTCTCTGCCCCCTGTAACTCAGCCTGCCGCTGGGGAATGGAGCTTGGGCTCCCAATTCCCTGCAATGTCGGTGGAGAGACCTCGGTCCCATCTCCACCCGCCACCTGGGGTTCCTCCCAGTAAATCTCAACAATGTCTTCCCAGCTGAATTGGTCTGGAACTGGATCTGTCAGCTTGCTGTCCTGCTGAGCCTTCTCAATGGAGTGGTAGAGATCTTGGTAGTCCTGCTCCAGTTCCCACTCCAGGGTTGCTAGGTGAGCCAGGTCTTGCTCAATTTCGTGAGTGTCGTCCCAGTCATACCTGCTCTCCCTCCACTCCAAGAGATCACTGAACCAAGGTTGTGTAGGGCTCCCAAATTCAGGCTCTAAAAAAGCCTCCCATAACAAGCCAGGACCATCAAACTCCTCTCCCTCTGGCTTGTCATGCTCGCTGTCCAGGGCAGGTACTGTGCCCCATACCACCAGAGCGCCTGGTAGGCATCTTCCAGCCAAATCTCCTGCCATACCCGGTGCTCCAATTCCTTCACCCATTCATCCAGGGGCTGCTCTCCCAGGAAGGGCATCCCCAGGGCCACTTGCTTCTGCAACCGCTGCTCTTCACTGGGGAGACTCTCGCCCCGCTGGTATTGTACATTATCCAGGGCCTGGTACCAGATGCCTTTCCTTAATGCATCCCGGCCATCCAGGTCCTCCTCCTCGTATGACACTGCTGGTTCCATTTTGTTGCTGTCAGGGTCGCTTTACTCAGACATGCGTTGCTCTCATTAACATACCGAACGTGTAAATATGCTGTGTAGACGAACGGCTGAAAAACCGGACGGCTTGAATTAAGTAGAGCAGAATTAGCCAAACGTGACAGTAAAGTGAGGACCTGAACCGTAATTGATGCTGTGGGACTTGTTGCCTGGCGTAATGGTTAGGTCTACTTACTGTTTGACAGTCACTAGGACGTGATCCGTGGCGATAGTAAAGGCAGGAAGCTGATCCAACAGAAATCTGCAGTAGGATTCCTGGACACAGCTCAGCGATGGGAAAACATCATGGGCAACAGAAGTACTCCAAAATGGCGACTGGATGAACCGGAAGTGCATTCAGACGCTGACCTTGATCGGTGTGGAGTCAGGTAAGGGTTGTACCTTATATAGGGGAGTGAAATAATTTAAGCCCCTCCCACAAATACAGCCTTAATACATATATACATTCTCTCTTTCCCTTTCCTTCGCCCCCTTCTCCCCGCGCGCGCTCTCGCCCCTTCTGCGCGCGCTCTCCCCTTCTGCCACAGTTGCAAGAAATAGTATGTGAATCAACCCAAGGTATTGCAAATGGGGTATGTCCAGTCTTTTT